ATATATATATATATATATATATATATATATATGTGTGTGTGTGTTATTTAATGATATATGCATTAAATATATATATATATGTTATTTAATGATATATGCAATGTCAACATAGAACTTACATATCTATTATGTATGTGTCTATATATGCACATTTCTATATGGTTACATAACTGTTTGAAACCATCTGCTGCATGATAATGTTCTTATCACTGACACACTGCATATGTGTGTGACCCTGGTCCTTTAAGATCATACTGGACTCCAAGGATTCCTATGCACAGTATTTTGTCATCACCCTGCAGATCGTGTCACTGACATGTTTGTGTGTCGTGAGCTTTGCTGTTTACCAATGAGGCAACTGAGACTGAGTCACCAAAGGAGAGGATAGACTTGGTCCAAGTTCAAGGGGCGGGGTCAAAGGAAAGCTTATGAATGGGTGAGTGGACAGCTTTTATCCAGCTAGGGCAACAGGACTCACCGGTCCATCTTAGGGGAGGACTGTGAGCTTTAAAAAAACAAAACAGTACTTCAGCAACGGGAGGCGGGAAGACAGCCCACAGCTCTCATGCTCCATGTGTGGTAGGAGAGACACCAAAGATCACCCCCAAGAAACCCAGACACCCAGAGATGCACTGAGGAAAACATGGCTCTGATCTTGGACTGGGCTTTAGTGGACAATGTGGGAACACCGGGGGTCCTCATTCTGTGTGGCCCACCCTGGAACTTCTCAGTGTCCACCAGTTTAAGGAAGAGCAAGCAGAAGTGAATCCAGAGGTGACTAGGGGTGGAGGACAGAATACAGAGCAGAGCTAGGAAAGGATGCAGGAGGACTCGGGGCTCCTGTCTCCCTGGGCCCCATTCCTGATGCGTCTACTCAGCAGGAGACCCACAGTCCTCTGCCATACTCACCATGCCCAGGTGGCCCAAGAACCAACTCCGTTTGGGGGGCTGAGGGAAACCACAAAGATGATGATATGTGCCATAGAAGGAATAGGTCTGAGCTAGGACACGGGCCAAGATCCAGGAAGCTCCGATGAGCAGCACAAGCAGCCACAGTGAGGATGCCTCCAGGCTCCATCGCAGGCAGGACAGGTCCAACTGTGGCATCCTGTGGTGGTGGGGTTGACAGAGAATGAGATTCGGAGACTAGGAAGGGGGATGGGACCCCCAGGAAGAGTGGACAGGGGTAGAAAGTGAAGGCTGTCGGGAGGAAGAGCAGGCCATGGGGAGGACAGAGGCAGTAAGAAGAAGAGAAGAGCACCCAAATATCTGAATCATAGTGAGGCTGCCAGGGGCTGTTACCTGGCAGCGAACGGGGTCACTGTGGCTTTTGGCTTCAGACAGCCGGCTACCTAGAGATAAGTAGCCAGCTCAGAGCTCTGTCTAACCCGCTATAAAACCCCACAACTCTGCCTCCCTTAGCCTGGCACCTCCTCTTCGGAGCAGTATGTTTCCCACAGTTCTTGTCCCTCCTCGAGAGAGAGCTTCTGTGTTCCTGGCTTCTGCCCTGGGGGAGGTGATGGCAGGCCAGGCTTAGCCAATCCTTCACTGGCTCATCTGCCTCCTCCCCTCCTGGGAAGATGGCCAAGATGAGGGGGATGGAGGTTGGTTAGAAGGCTCCAGAGTGGAACCAATTCAAGGGCACATAGCACTGATGCCAGATTGTAGCACAAAACAAATAAAAGTCCCAGAGACTGATATTGGGGTTCAAGCTTCAAGCTGACAATCAGAGAAGCAAGGCAGCTGACCTCGAGCTCTTACTATAGCTCAGACCAAAGGGGTGATCCTCAAACTTCACTACTCCTCAGATTCTGCTATGCTCTTCTCATCTTGTCTAGAGACTAACTCTCAGCCTCTGCCTTTTATACCTCTAAAATCCTGGGATTAAAGGCGTGAGCTCTGATTTACTCTCCAGTAGCCCAGGATGGTATAGGACTCAGATCAATCTACCTTTCTCCTGAATCCTGGGTTAATGGTGCGTACCACCACTGCCTATAGCTTGAAGCTAGCTTTGCATTTTGAGTCCTCAGGCAAACTTCAATAAATTATAAGTAACATATCACCACACCAGATCCTTAGGACTTGATCCTTCCACCACAGGGTGGGGGGTAGGGGTGGGATTTGCGGCTGAGAGCAAGATTCTGAGGTGAGCAAAGGTGAGTTGAGCCCCACATTTATAGCTGACGCTACTTCCGCAAGAATAAGGTGTATCTTAGTAAAGCAATTAACAGGAGTTCAGGTGCCAGGGGAATGGAGCCAGGCCAGGTCTGTCACAGACCATCTCCCAAGGTCCTCTGCCTGGACTGCACTGACAGCATCCACCATCTATTTTTTTTAATACATACATAGTATTTTTATTAATTTGTTGAGAATTTTATACAAGTATAAAATGTATTTTTGTTAGACCCCCGGAAAACTCAGGCCTCCGGGGTCTCAGCCCAGGACCTCGGTCACCCCAATCACCAGGCGGATTCAAAAGCTTGCTGTAAACTGCATTAGGCTTTATTGTTGTTTAACAAGCTAACCCCATGTTAGCTTGGGTCTTTCACCCACCCATCATGGCGATGGCTAGCAAAGAGATCTTGTAGGGCAGCGTAAGGTGAGTTTCTAGGGGTTCGCACAGACTCAGGATTGGTGTGCCTCCAGGCTTGGAGAACTTGCCCTGTGTTAATTGGCCAATTGGTTGTTATGGCCCGTAGGCTCTCACAGGGTGGTTGCTATGTTCTGTGCGTCATTGCTGTGCACTTGTCCGTAAAGCACACCCAAGCACACCCAGAGCCGTAAAGCGTAGCGCCACCAGCTAACTTCTTATTGGTTTTTTGACACGAGGCAGGGATCTGACTTTCTAGTGACTAGGACAAGGTCAGACAAGCACGTGTTCAGCTGTTATGGCTGCCAACAGGGCAGGCATCTGACCTTAGTGACTAAGACAAGGTCAGACAAGCTGTTATGGCTGCCGAAATGGGAAGCTGGTCCCTTCATTTTGATTAGATTTGCCTGTTACTCCTCCACTTAATTCCTTGTAGATCAGCTCCCTACCCAAACCCTCTTTTTTTATTTTAATAGCTTCCTGATGCAAATGGGTGGAAGTCTTAACAAGGGCAGAAGGCCTACCAGGGACAGAAGGCCTACCAGGGGCAGAAGGAAGGCCTACCAAGGGCCTTCTCCCTGAAGAAAACTGACTGTCCCTCCTCCCCCATCAGCTGTCAATAGCTCCTCAGCTAGGACTTGGGCATCATGATGGCCTCCCCAGTGTGGGAATGTTGACTGCCTTGACCTTGAGCAGCTCTTTTGCAGGCAGCTGTGGTTGCCGTGCATTTATGAGTGCAGACATCCCATGATACCCAGAAGACATTGTTTGGTAAGACTCCTCCCAGACTTCTGGTTCTTACAATCATTTTGCCCTACTTCTGAAAGGGTCCTTGAGTCTTGTGGGATGAGGCTATGATTTCGTCGTCCTGTTTATTCTCTGCCCTGTGACCAGCTGTATGTCTCTATATGAGGTGCTATGCCCACCACAAAGAAACTTACCTGGTGAGGTCTTTCATGGCACCAAACTGGGAGGCTCCAGGATTTCCTCAGCCTACAAGTGACAATGTGGCAAAATTCAAATCCCACTGTGATGCAGCCCAGAGTCTAGACAGAGACAGGATCCATCAGCAGGAACAAAGAATTCAGCCCAGTGATCGATTCCCAAGGTCAGATTCCAGTAATCAGTAGTCCAGCTGAAGGAACAATGCTTAGGTTGATCTGGATACCAGTGGGTGGGGGTGGAGAGTGGGGAGCAGGCATGTGATGGTGACGTCTAGAGGAACCCTGAGCATATGGATCCATGCAGAGGAGTACCATGGCATTGGCCAGAGGACAGCCTTGGGGGGCAGAGGACAGCCTTGGGTATCAGTCCTTCCATCTTCTTGAGAGTCTCTGATGATTTCACAGCTGTCTACTCCAGGCTAAATGACTCAGTATCTCCCAGGGATTCTCCCATCTGCACCTCCCTTCCGACAAGAGTGCTGACATTACAGATGTGTGCTGTTGTGCCTGACTTTTTTATCGGTTCCGGGGATTTGAACCCAGGTTCATATGTTTGCAAGCAAGTGTAATACCCTCTAGGGTTGCAAGAACAGTTTGTTTTTTAGCTTTATTGTTTGTTTGTTTCGTTGGTTTTGTTGCTTTGTTTGCTAATGAAAGATTTAAAAGGCAGGGAAGAAACATTACTGGAGACCTGGGGAGCCCCTGAAGAGTCGTCATATGACAACTGAAAATAAAAGTGTGGTTGTTTGAGAAGTATCCCCCATAGTATCTAGCATTTCAATACCATTGTCCTCCACATGGTGGTGCTGTTGGGGAGGCTTAGGAGGTGTGACCTTGCTGGAGGAAGTGTGGCACTAAGGATGGGCTTTGAGAATGTAAGGCTCCTGCTACTTGCAGTTTGCTTTCCCTGGTGCTTGTGGTTCAAGGTGTGAGCTCTCCATGTTCCTCCCCAGCTCTGTTATGGTTTCTAACCCCATGGAACCATAATCCAAAATAAATTCTTTCTGCTGTGAGTTGCCTTGGTCATGCTTCTTTATCCCAGCAACAGCAGAGTGACTAATAAACAGAGACTCAAGGACAAATAACAGACTCAAATGGAAGATTAGGAATAATTATTTGAGTTTCACAGGCACTCCCCAAGGCCCACTAGCTGTCAGTCTCAAAGCTGTGCCTAGGAGCAGAATGGAAGAGCCAAGCTGGCATGACAGTCAGCCATATGGTGGCAGGCAGGCACACAATGAAGAGGGGAGCTTTAGGAGGGAGTGGAAAAGTCCAGTACATTATCTTCAGATGAGCCTCTGGACAGATTCCTGCCCCACCCAATTGGATTAACCCTTAAAGGAAGAGACAAGAGCATGTCTCCACCTAGAAGTAGATTTCATTTGAGGCGGAGCAATCTCCTCGGCCCCTTTTCTTATATGAAGTGTAGCTAGCTCTTCAAACAACATGTACTATTCTGTACAACTATCATTAATATTTCAGAAAGGAACCTGTTACATGGCATGCTTGACACACAGTAGGACCCCCTATATGCGACTTGTGAGAATCAGACAGTATTGTGTGTGGGAACAGATTTGATGGCACCATCAGCACCAGCTGTGACTTGGGGCCACGAGTCTTCCACTCACTGTGCTGAGCTTTTTTCATAGTCATCAGAAGAAACAGGGTTGGGGTAAATATTAAATATGTTAATACTGAGTGGAGAATTAAAGCCACGCTCACCCCATTAGACAGCCAGCACCAAGACTGGGTTTGCCATCATTACTTTTGTGATAGAATGAAGATATAGCTACCAGGTGGGATTCTTGGGTCCCTGTCACACACTTATCAGAGAACTTGGTAACTGTCATCACACACTGAGCATCCTTTGCCTTTATAGACCTTTTGAAAAAGCTGTGAATGTCTTTTTGGGCATTGGGTAACCATATACAAAGCTGGTTTTGTCATTCACCAGCTGTGGGAGCAAATAGGCTGCTTTCTGTGAGTCTCACATTCCTAAGGGCATGGTCGTCTACCTCAGGGTATGCCTGAGCCAGTCACCATGTTTGTGTGACTTTCAGATCCCAATAAGGAGAACATTGTGAGGAAAAAGAAAGAGTGAAGTTCAAATCCTCTTTTTGGAGGTGACCCTTAGACAAGGATTTAACTGCCAGGTGTCCAAAGATAACCTCTGGAACCCAGCAATGCAGTGGGGAAGTAGGATGGGAAGGGGAGGCAGGAGTTAAAGGTGGTGTGTGGAAGGAAGTTTGCACAGTGGCCACCTGGGCTGAGATCTAGTGAGGGGCTCTGGGAGACAGCCAGCATTGAGTACACCTTAGTCATTCCTGGAGTTTTGATACATAATCAACTGTGGCCAATCTTCAGAACTGAGACATAGCCCAGGTTGCTCCTGAGGGCTGCTGGTCTGGGGTGTGCAGCCTGCACTGCAAAGGTCGGGTATAGGAACAGGACCAGAGGGCTCTGACAGAAACTCCAGCTACTGCAACACACATACCACACCACACACACAAACAAACACACTATACACACCACAAATGCCACACACACACACACACACACACACACACACACAC